ACAGCACGTCCCGGCAGAGGGATGGCCACGGGCTCCTGGACCCCCCATCCTTTTCTTCCTCGTGTCTGCAGATCTCCCTCCCCATCGCTGCGTCTGCCTGGGGTGCGGGCACCCTTGCCCCTTTCCCACCTGCCCCGTGAACGTTCCCCACATCTGGCACTTGCTGTTGTGCCCAAGATTGCCAGGAGAGACAGATCTCTGGAAGCCGCGCGGTTCCTGCTCCTGGCACCACGGTGGCTGGGGAGGGGATTTGTGTTTTTATTCATTGTTTCCCTTCCTCGCGGATCCTGCCGTTGGACTAAGTGAGCGTTGCGGTGTCCCAGGGGCATCGCTTAAGCTTTCTGTGGCTGTAATGACTAGCTCGCGGCACGCTTCACCAGCAGCGCTTGAGACCTTTTCCACAGCCCTCTCCCGTGCCTCGGTTACGGGGGAGTGACTTTCATTGGTGCTGATCCAAATTGGCCAGGGCAGCCTCCATTTCCTGCTGCCCCCCACCTCCATCAATTTAGAAGGAGAGCCTGTCTCCAGGACCTTCTGCCCGAGGGATCCACTCGTTTCTGGGGTAAATGGGGCTCCCTTCTCGACCTCGATCTTCCCCTTCTCCTCCCTTTTTCCTTTCCCCTAGAAACAACAGCTAACAGAGAGCTCTGTTGGTGGTAGCAGAGAGAAAACAGCTCTGCAAGCAGATGATTTCAGTATTAACAAAATTAACATGGGCCTGGCACTCTCTGAAATGAGTCACCCGTGTTTCATATCAATGATTTCAGACCTTGGCATTTTCAGTCCAAGCTGCAAGCAGCACTATGGCAGGCACAGACTATATTTTAAAATATCATGGCAGGGCTAGAAACAGATGCTCGGGAGCAGAGCAGAAGGTACCGTAATGAAGCTTTAGTGGGAGCGCACGGGGAACGCAGCGTGCCGGGAATGCAGTAGCCACCCATGACACTCATCCGCGGTGTCGGGCTGTTGCGTAAGCTGTGCCGGGGGGCAGGCAGAGAAAACGGGGACAAAAGCCCGGCACTTGTCCACTGCTGCTTCCAGCGAGCCGGAAAGATGAGGAAACCAGTGCAAGCACCTTTCCCTTACAGCCATGTGCCAACCAAGTGGAGGCTTCGCATCTCACTCCTTTTAGTGATAGCTTTCTCTAGCTCCATTCTCATTCTCCCGGCCAAGAGGTACAAAACGTTTAGCCAGTTCCTCTTCTGCAAGCATCTCCTGACAGCCTTCAAGCCAAATTCCAAGCTGCTGGCAAAACTTTGGCAGTTTTGGCAGTCGCTCGCAGCTGCAGAGGCCCGTTGCTCTCTGATACCCTCGCTTGTCTGGCTGTAGTAATAATCTATAGTTATATATACTAACCTATATTATATAGTAAAAACCTAGTCATAAATTTCCTAGGAACTGCATTTTTTTGTGAGCATCCCATTTGCAGTTAGGTAACCAGGACAGGAAAACACACACAGGATCCCCAGGAGTCTGTTTTCTGCATGCTCCCCAGTTTTACAGCATTGAGCCTCAGCCCCTGAGTGATCACACCACATCACCTCCTGGGTCGAGCTGCAGTCCGACTCCTATAGCCGGAGCGATAACTCTCACCAGAACAGCCCCATGCACACGTGCGGTCGGCTCCCGAGCCCGCTCGGCACCAAGAATAGCCCTCACGCTGTCGCAACACTTGTGTCTGCGCGTGGGTGCCAGGCGTCATGGCGTGTCAGCAAGCGCAATATTTCTGCTCGCGGTTCCTCGCAGCTAGCGGTGTGATTTCTGCACGGGGAAGTTAACGCTTCCCACGCAGAGCAGCTCAGCCTCGCCGGTGGCTCAAAGGCTGGGATTTAGAGTCCTCCGGTGACGAGAAGGCCTGAGATGCTGCCGTCTAGCCTGCCAGCAGCTGTACCAATAGCTACAGCGAGGTGCCCAAGCCACAGTCGCTCATCTCCTGGCCAGCCTGCACCATTTTGGAGCCCAGGGCTGTCATTAATGCTGCAGTTTGTCACGTGCAAGGAGTGAAGCACCTCTGCTGAGCTTGGCAACCAGCACCCTGCCCCAGCCTCTCAATTTTGGGCATAAGCTACCAAGAGGGACGCGATGGGAAGGGGAGCTGGCACTTAGGCGTTGCAGGTGCCAAGGAACACGGGATCAGGGGGGTTTCCCTGGCCACGGAGCAGCTCGGTACTGCATGCTGCACACCCTGGTCGGCTCACCTCTGCGGGAGGCTCGGCTAGGCACTAGTACCGTCTCAGCACTGCACCATGCGTCCAGACAACATTTTCCCTTCCCAGCCCAGGCTGGGAGCGCTCAGGCTCCAGCTGCACCCCTTGAGCCGCACGGGAGTTCGTACCTGCTCTGGGGGGTACTCCCATGGGAAGGCAGTTCCGGGGGCTGTCTTCTCACCCCAGTTCTCGGAGGGATCCATTTATTGGAAGATTCTGATAACAAAAAATAAATATATAGTCTGAGCAAAGCTAGCAGTAGTAACTACATTAACTAGAGCTACAAACAGCCTCTGCTATGTCTTGGTGCCAGTTCTCCCCTCCTGGACTTCATTTGGCACCTTACATATTAGGAGGACAAATTAGAATTTCATGCATATTTCATGTACACTTAATCACTTGGCAAAGAGCAAAACTCTTCCCCATTAAGTGGAATTTATACTAAATGCTGTTTCCGTTAGGCATGAGGCATTGCCCATTCATAGGCTAAACTGGCTCCCAGGGAGGGGTTTCCCTCGTTAGGGGAGGTGGGGGACCCTGTGACAGTGGGCTCCTGCCAAATGAGCCTCATTCCAGTGAGCGAGGAGGGGTTACTTCTGTTGGGAATAACAACAGCTTTATTGCAAAGCTATTTCACAGAAAACATCCTGGGTCAAGGGAGCATCGGGTGCTGTTCACCCAAAGCACGAGGCAGCACCTCTGCCTGGAGAGCAAAGACTCGAGGTCCCATTTGCTGCTTCTTTCAGCCATTTGAGTCCCCACAAAGCTCAGAGGGGCCGTTGCAGGGCTGCTCAGCCATGGGCTGTGGTCTCCTACACTGGGAACTAGTAGAGACAAAGGTGTGAGGCTCCTAAACCTGAGACGCTGCTGCACGAACCCTTCCCAGAGGACTTACATTGTAAGGCATCCTTCTAGTGGCTTCTCTTCCTTTACACCTCTTAGTAAGACACGCTCTAGCAGGCTTTAGCTACTCCCAAACTTTCTGCTGAGCGCAGCCCTACAGCACTTCTTGCTGCTCTTCCTCCCTCCTGCCAGGGAAGCAAACCATGTTTGTGTCCAGTTGGGCCTTTATATAGCAGCTCTGCCCTAATTAGGCTGCCTGGGTCACATGGCTCCTAACGAGTGACAAGGCTCAGCTGGCTCCTTTGAGCCCAAACACGGTGCCCCTGGTCTTTGGGTTTCACTGCACTTCCCAGGGCTCCCTGCCCTAGGGAGGGGTCTCCCTGGGGATCACTGTCTCTCTCAGCCCTCGGGAAGAAAGTTGTAGGTGTGTATTGCTGAGGTTAAAGCGAGGTGCAGGTAGGAGCCTCTGGAGGCTTTTCTGGTTTTGAAACTGTCCTAGTGTTGGATTTCTTGCAGAAATAGGAAATGCAAAGTGCTACTGAAATTGCCATGGAGGTAGTGACAAGCCACTCTTGGCCGAGGGGAGCCAGGGAGGGTGCGCGCAGGGGAGGTTGGCACATCTGGACTTTGGCTTTCCTTGGGGGAGCAGACAAATCTCCCTTTGGAGGGCCTTTCCTGGGGAAGGGAAGATTTGCCTGGGCAGGATTGCTCGCTTCTGTCTCTGAATGCGCAACTATGGGCTCCCCCTCCCTTTCAACAAAAACTCCTGACAGGCTAATACAGGCTAATACACCTTGGCCCTTTTTTGGCAACCTCAGCCTGGGCGCAGCTGGGAACCCCAAAAAGCTGCCCCCAAAATAACTGATATAGATGTAGGAGATTTTGATGGGGTTATTCTGCTTTTAAAGGAGGGGAGGGTGACTGGGAGCGCAGAGCTGCTCTGGATTTCAGACCCGAGGCTGTACGTCGGCTGTCTCAGTGGGCATCAGCAGTTCCTTCTTCTCCGCCCTGTTTCCCTGCATCCTCAAACAGCGTCACTGCTTTTTTTTCCAGTGGGCATACAAGGCTACCGCTGGCCTGCTTTGTGCCTGATGCTGCTGCCTGACCTCAATCTGTGCCGTGTTTGTTATCCGGACACTCTGGTGTGGTGTGCCCAGCGGGGGGGGTCTCTGCCTGGGCAGGCGGGGGTGCAGCTGGGAATACTGGTCCTGGGGACCGCTTGCCACCCCCCCACCAGCTTTTGAATCTTTTTTTTTTTTCCCCTTGCATGAGCCTATTGCATAAGACGGATTTGTGGGCTTCTGTTTCATTTGCCCTCTCCTTTCCAGGATAAAGACCTTGTCTTTCCCAGCATTTTATTTGGCTGTCACTGGCAAAGGCTAAACCAGCCCCCTCCCCCCTGGCGGCACTCCACCAATCTTGAGGTCGGCGGGAGCCACAGTATCAGGCCTAAAAAGGGCTTAGCCCTGTATTTTTACAGCTCCCCAAGGCCATGAGCTGGGGTGACGGTGGTGTGTGGGGTCTCGGACAAAACTAACCACCCCTTTAGGTACGTGAATTTTGCCAACGTGTTCATGAGAGATGCTGCTTTACGTGGAGCAGCTGCTGGTTTGCTTAGCTGTGCTTTAAACAGGGGGGCTTTAAATGAGACTGCAGGGGGAGGTGAGGTGAAGGCACAGCAACCTTGGAAAATGGTGAAGGAAAGATAAAGCCCTTAGTGCCCAGCCAACAGCCGTGGGCCATCCCGTTGCATTTTAGCACGCCAGGCTGGAGCTGAGCACACCCACAGCCCCTCCGAGGTCTGAAGAGCCAGACACATGGTACCGCTCTGCAGTTTGCCTTCTGGGCTGGTTAACTGCTGCCCCTGGTTTGAGTGAGTTTCCTCAAAGTCTGTGTATTTCTGAGGATTGGTGGCTCAGGACACCCTTTTCCTTGGTGTTGCAGGTCAGCCTCAACGACTCCCACAATCAGATGGTCGTTCACTGGGCGGGAGAGAAGAGCAACGTGATCGTGGCCTTGGCCAGAGACAGCCTGTCTTTGCTGGGACCCAAAAACAGCGACGTAAGTAACGCGTCCCACCGCTGCTGCAGGGAGCCCGCCCTACCGCTGTGTCCTGCAGGATGGTGGCAGCTGCTGAAGCACAGCCTGCCTTTCTCTCGTGTGCTGGGAGGGCGAAAGAAAGGCCTGTGAGTCTGAGTTCAGAGGTACAACAAAAAAAATTGATATCCTCTGTGTTGCCCCACCGCTTTGAGCCCTGACACGCTGGCTCGGGCAGTCTCTAAGGCTTCCCCCCCCTTTATAGCTTTCTGAGTTTTTACCAAATCTGTCAGAAGGGAGCCCAGAGCTTTGCACTCCTCACGCCGGGGCTTCTCCTTTGCAGGTTTACGTGTCTTATGACTACGGGAAGAGTTTTAAGAAGATTTCCGAGAGGTTCAGTTTCGGTGGGGGCAACAGCAGCGAGGTGGCCATCGCCCAGTTCTACCACAGCCCGGCCGACAACAAGAGGGTGAGCAGGACGTGGCAGCCAGCCCCAGCGGGGTTCCCTCACAGGGCAACGCTTCTTCATCGCTAGCATCACTACAGAGACATCTATTTATTGAGGCTTTATCTATACCAAGGTCACCTTTCTCCCAGCTGAAGCCCTCCTAGGGTGAGGGGAGATACCCTTGCCCTGTAGCAGCTGAAGCTGCCACTTGCCATCATGCCTGTAGGTATTCTTCCTCTCCAAAGCCAGGCCGGGGCAACTGGCTGTGCGATCACTCGACCCACATCCGTGGGTCACGCTGAAAACCTGCCTTTGCACAGGGCAAGCGCTCACGTGGGCCTTTCTGCTGCAGCAGCGGGGCACCAGGGGACTGAAGGCATTTTTACACGGTTCTCCTGCTTCTGGGAAATGCCCCTTGAGCCATCCCAGGGATCGCTGGGGCAGAGGCAGGACGTGCTGGATGAGCTGCTGTGCCTCCTGTAAGGCTCTGCGGTGCTCAGGAGCATCAGAGGGTAGTGGAAGAGGGGGTGGCTGGGGCAAGCAAATTCTCCTCCAGCATTTGCCCTCCCAAAGGAGGACATGTGCCTTTGTTACTGCTAGCCTGAGCTCTGCTCTGACCTCCTGCAGACTGACCACCTTCTTTCCTTCTTCCTTGTTGCTCCCTCTCTTTCCAGTATATCTTTGTGGACGCCTTCGTCCCATACCTCTGGATCACCACCGACTTCTGCAACCATATTCAGGGCTTTTCAATTCCCTTCAGAGCAGCAGACCTCCTCCTGCATGGCAGCAACCCCAACCTCCTGTTGGGCTTTGACAGGTCTCATCCTAAAAAACAGGTGAGCACTTCTGCTTGGACGAGAGGACCAGTGTCCTGCCTCTACACTGCTGTGGTGTTCCCCTGACCCATTATGTGCCCCACAGCCCTTTCGACGTGCCAAGAACCACCCTGACTCCTGGGTTCGTGCTTTGACCATCTGGGGTGTCTGATCTTTGATTACTGTATGCAGAGCTGTCCCACATTGGCCAGGACACCCCCTTCCCTACAAGTCAGTCTGGTTTCTGATCTCTGGAGCCTCAAGGATTTAGAACCCGCAGGATGGCTGCCTTAGACGCTTCCTTTCCCTTTTCCTTTGTTTGTGCTGGTCCTTTATCCGTGCTGTGCCCGAGTGTATCGATCTGCCCAACTATTGCGGTTGTAGCTCGCCACGGAGCGCCGGCAGCTGAGGCAGGACTGACCTCTGCAGTGCTTCACATGGACATGTGGTTGGGCTTTGGGTCTTGCATAACAAATTGTATCTTGAAAACAAGTGCTACTTTTTTACCCCTGGAGCTGCTGGGTAAAGTTTGTAAATAATTACAGCACCTTCAGATAAACACAGGCAGCGTAAGCAAAACCTGGGGGTGAAACAGCCATCCCCCAACACGTGAATGGGGACAGTCGAGCCGGGTTCGTGCACAGCCCGTGGTGGTGTTTTGAGTCGGGTCGTAGCAGGGCGTGTGCTGGGCACTGCCGATGCCTCCCCGGGGGCACAGGGCTGGCCAGGAGCGGTACCTTCCCTGGGCAGGCTGCCGGACTGACTCGAGACTGGAGTCTGGCTGGCTATATCCATGTACCTGCAGAAAAGAGGCAAAACTTGCAGCTCAGGTGCTACCACAGTGCTTGGAAAAAACAAGCAGGTTTCCGGGACACGGTCCCTTCTAGGGACGGGATCTGCAGAGAGGCTGACGTGCCTGCGGGCTGGTGTGTTTATCGCTGCTGCTTTCGTTGGCGCAATAAAAGATGCTATCTCTCTTCTCGACCTTTGCCTTACCAATGCCTGCAGATCTGCAGCAACACATGTCACTGTGCTTGGGGTTGTAACGGCCTCCGAGGAGGAGACAGCTCTGCCCAGATAATTACCCTTGCTATCGCGCTCCATGAGTACATTAGAACAAGTTATTTTTATTTCAGAGGTAGTGTAAAACCAGGGGAATGAACAGACAGTAGAAAATCCTTCTGGTAGGAGTCTAAAGTGCAAGTTTTTCTTGTTGGGGTTATTCTCCTGCAGCTAGAAAGATTGCTGTTGCTTTGGATAGCTGCCATGTAAAGAGAAGTCATCAAAGTAGTTCAGTTTTATGATGGATGCGCGTCCATCCTGCCTTTGCTGCTTGAAGTCGGGCATCTTGAAGGACTGGGCCTGTCCAGTCCTGGGCCAGATGCACAGGCCCTCTGTCATCTCTCACATTTGTCATTGCAGCTTTGGAAATCGGATGATTTTGGCCAGACGTGGATAATGATTCAGGAACACGTGAAGTCTTTTTCTTGGTACGTATCACACCTGCGTGTTACATGCAGCTCCTCTCTTCTCTCACTCTTCACTTCTTGCCACCCTGTGCAAACCAAGCACCCAGGTACCAAAGCGTGCTCTGGCTCCAGCCCCTGCTCCCCTCGCCCAGCAGAGACCCCATGCCGAGGGGATGTGGCTCCGCGGTGTGACGGGAGAAAGCCACTGATGCGGGCACACGAGGGTGCTCCACGTTCCTGCCGGTTCTTGCACACCCACCCCATCTCTTGAAAGGGCTCTGCCCCTTGGTACTCGCTGCCTTCTGCGTTGCTCTGTGAGTGCAGAAATAACACCACCACCATCTTTTTTTTTCTTCCCAGGGGAGTCGAGCCCTACGATAAGCCCGACACAGTGTACATCGAGCGGCACGAGCCTTCTGGGGCTTCGACTGTCATTCGCAGCACCGACTTCTTTCAAAGCAGAGAAAATAAAGAAATAATCCTGGAAGATGTCGAAGACTTCCAGCTCAGGGACAAATACATGTTTGCAACAAAGTCTGTGGTAAGTATCATGCGAGCGATTCACCGCTGCGAGTGATGGCTGATGCTGCGGTACGGTACTGCCACGGCTGCAGCGGGCAG